TATTGGCCTGAATTGTGTTCACCTATCTGGAGAAAATTCTGGAAGAAGATATTGTTCAGAAAATTTGATTTGGAGAAAAGATAAGCTTTGGACCAAATGTAAGTGAAATGTATATGAAAAAGTATTTTTGTTTCTCAAAAAAAGAAATGTTTTAGGTTTGAATGCAAAGGTTTGTTGTTGTTTGTTTTTGTTTTTACTAACCAAAGTGAACAGTTAACCATTTTCGATGCTCTCTTATCCTGCGTTATATTTTCAATGTATTTTTTGAGAAATTAATCTCTTAAACATACATAAAAAAATGAAAGTCAATAATTTAATGGTATTATGTCCGTATCCCTCTTCTCCTTTTTGCTACATTATTTAACCTACAATATAATTTGAAAATATGTTTTTGAGCTTTAAACTTGTAGAAATATAATTGATACTGAGCTTGGAGATTGCAAACCCCAAAGCTCTAGTTCAGAAGAGAGAAAATCACAATGGGACAGAGATCCCAGTTCTTTACAAGGTTTAATTCCTTTCCCCCTGTCAGTCCAGAAACTGAAAATGCAGATTGTCTCATCATGAAACTAGCAACTCAAATGAGGCAAGAAAAAGTGGTTTCTGAGCAGCTAATTTGTTGAGGATTTGTTGGAAGGCCCACCCCACTGTCTAGCTGCAGCTGTTTTTTCCTGTAAGATTTATTGTCAGGGCCTGCGATACTGACACAGAGGATTAAGTGTGAGATTTCGCTTTACTTAGGGGAGGAGAGGAAAGATTCACTTCTATGAGACTAAATACTACATCAAACATTTGAACACGAGTGAAAATCCAGGATTGACTTTTGACTGTATTTAGCAGATTCTAAAAGATTTCTGTGGTTAGTTGAAGGGAAGTCTGCTCTGGGGCATCATCATATCCTCGGAGCTAGGAATTTACTTGACCTAAAATTCTCTGCTGTCAAGTTTGTAGCCTGGGTTGGAGAATTTTGAGAAGGAGGTGATTCCAAGTTGCTGAGGAAGTAATTTAGCTTTCTGGCAAGAATTAATAGGGCTCCATCGGGGAGGTAGGTGTCTTGAAACAGTTATACTTAGGGTTAGGGGCAAGGGAGGGACTGAGGAAGATCTAACTGTATCATCGAGTTCATTAAATTCACTCAGAGATTTTTCTGCTAGAGGGTATATGGTAGATCTCTCCTAACCCTCCTTTGGTTAAGAGCATTTTCAGATCTAAGCTTTCTTTCAAAAGTCTTTTCCAAAAGCTTAGATGTTTGTCCTTTACTATATATTTCTGGAGGAAATAATAATCCTCGGTCACAATAGCAATAGCGCACAGTGGATATGATGGTGCGGATCATTGTCTGCTCTTGGAAAAACTGTGCCCTCCAGACCAATGGAATTACCTTCAAAATTCCTGCATATTCTCCCTGCATCATTATTTGTTGATGAGACAACCCACCAAAGCCCAGGCAAAGACAGTGAATACAGACCTGAGTCAAAGGATATGTATGAATGGATTTTTTTTGTCAGCAATGAAAATAACTTGGAGAAGTGTGATAAAGTTATCATAACCATCTCCCATAAGGAGCCTATCTTTTTAGGAAAAGGAAAAGTTATAAATATATGTAAATATCAAATTCTATCACTGAGAGTAAGTACAAAAAGCTTTTGTTCCCTCATTCCCTTGTTGCCCATTCTACCTTCCTAAATCAGTCTGTCTCCACAAAAACATAATTTACAAAAGCACAGGGTTCTTTTTTCTTTATTGACTAAACACTGTGTGATATACCTGCCAGGATTTAATATATGTTTGTTTAATAATGATTCATTAAGTTGACCCAGGATGTTTTTACGTTGCTTTTCTCTCATCCCATTATATTTCTGCAAAATTGGTTTTGTGTCATAGCTTTTGCAATCAGTATTTTATCAGATAGGTGTGCGTAGTTGAGGCTGTTTGCAAGGGACATTGTGTAACCTGTTCGTTCTGGAAGAGTTTCTGACGTATGCGTTTCTGTTACTCAAAGCAAATGAATGCCTGACAAGTGGCAGCTTTGTTGTATTTCCTCAGGGCAACGTAGAAAAACTGAACATAAAATACTTTCCATTTTTAATACACAAGAGGCAGTAGCTACCAGACCTCATCTGATTAAAGCTATACATTTCTGTAAACCATTCTGAGTCCTATGTAAACAGAAAGCAAATTCATTTTTCTGTTGACAAGATGAGGGTCACTCATGTATTGATTTTGGGTAATTGTTCATAAAATTTTCCCTATTTTTCGCGTTTCTAAGACGTATGTAGTATTGGTTGGCTGGCTTATTCCCTTTCATTTTTATGGTGGATTTTGCATGCGTTTTTTTGTTTTGTTTTGTTTTTTAGAAATTTCACAAACAACATTGTGGCCATATTACCAGAAAAAAAGAATTTAAAAAAATAAATAAAAGCTCCCCCGCAATCCTGCCACTCACCTTTCTTAGTTTTCCTTGCTTCCTTCCAGATTCGTTCCCCTTCAGTATGTAGTAGCTGCAGAATTGGCATCTTTTATTCATAAAATCTGGGGTTGACCAAGTACTTTATCAAGAGTGTTTCATTTGGGGAGCCTGGGTGGCTCAGTTGGTTAAGCGACTGCCTTCGGCTCAGGTCATGATCCTGGAGTCCTAGGATCAAGTCCCGCTCGATCAGTCGGGCTCCCTGCTCAGCAGGGAGTCTGCTTCTCCCTCTGACCCCCCCCCATGTGCGCGCTCTCTCTCTCTCTCTCATTCTCTCTCTCTCAACTAAATAAAATCTTTAAAAAAAAAAAAGAGTGTTTCATTTGGTTAAGTGACAAACAGGGGTGCTTCATTTTGCCTATCACTTGTTCCCTAAAGTTGTAGATGACATGTCCCCATTCTCACATGATCCTAAATCATTACTAAAATTTAGTGGTTCTTCATTTCTGAGCACTTTTCAGTTGGCAGGGATCCCTACTTCATCTCTGCACACCTCTGTATAAAAACACTTGAATGATCCGGAAGGTCAGCATTTAGTAAACGCCTTCACTTCCCCTGTCCCCATCTCATCTGGTCTTTCTATAAGTTCACCTTTTCACTTCCTGATTCGTTCTTAAGCAGATCACTTTCTCCCTTCTGGTTGTGTTATCTGAGATATAGCTCTTTAAGGGCTAGGTAGGGGTAGAAATTTGCACACATTTGATTTAGAGAAATACTAGGTTTTGACTTGGGAAGCTAGAATATTGGCAAAATTGGAGATGTCATGTGTATTTGCAAATTTTTCAACAAGTATTTGTGAAGTGCCTGGCTCGGCACTCTGTCGGGTGGTGTGGACGACACCTATGTGTAACACTTTATTTTTACCGTCAAGGAACCTTTCACTCATTTTCCTGTATCTGTGGGATTTTTCTCCACATTCTTTGAGCTAGCTGCTTTTGAAGTCAAGCGCTTGCATTTACATTGATACGTGAGTCATGTTCAGGGAACTAGCTTTCTCCACGAGGTTTAGTGTAAAACTGGATTATTCCTATTCCAGAAATGTCTGTGTCTCTTATCAGCATCAAGTCATTTAGATTTAATATAGAAAATTCGTCTTTATTATTTTTCAAATACAATAATTTTAATAATGGTTGTCTTTTATAGATAGGAAGGATGAGAAATGTTCAAGGGTTTATTTTATAGGATAAAAAGCTCTAAGTTCTTCAGAGAAGATGGAAAGCTGTGACCTCCTGAGGTCAGGTTATTGATAATGACTATAACATCTCTGTCCTTCATTGTGCAACAGAAGTGGCAAACATGACTCTGAACTTCTGAAAGTTAAATACGCTTAATTTTATTGACTGATAAGCTGCATATACTATTATATTCCCTATTCTTCAGTTATTTCCCTATCTGCTGAGTTATACATCTCTATAGACAAGGCCATGTAGGGTTTTTTAATTTTTATAGATCTTTTGCATGTAAGGTGTACATGTTTACTAGAGATAATTTAGAAATATATATTAGCAATATAATGCATATTCTATGAAATGCATAGAAGTAAAAATTAGCTCCCCACCCAAAGATCATCATGGTTAATATTTCGGCATTTTTAACTTCAGACTTTTTATTATAATGTGTGTATATTTTTTTCCTTACTAGGATCCATGCTTTGTTTTATAACCTGATAATTTTTTTCAGTGTTAGGTTGTTTGGGCCTGTAGGGTATGGGGAGAATGTCTTTCTATCTTATTCATTCCATTTAAAAAAGAACACATCATATTTGGCATGGACTTGGGGCTTATTTATCTATTTAGAAATCTCAAGTAAATATAAATAAGCATGTGTGTTTTACTACAAATTCATACTCAGAGCATCGCCGAATAGCAGTTTTATTTAGAAAAATCCAAGTATGTTTCGGGGGGAGGTTTTTTTTATTCTAAAAGGTTCACATGGTTTCACATTAAAATGAAAGAGACTGAAATGAAAACAGACCTAATGATGGCGTCTTTTACCTACTAGTAGACAATAGCTAGACTGCAAGCCCCTTATGCTGGAGACCATAAACACGCAGCACACCATTCTAGACATATTTCTTAGCACAATCCCTGGCATGTAATAAGGTGTAAAAAATAGGAGTCAGATGAATGATTGAAGAAAAGACGAGGTAACTCATCCCCGTGTTTGTGGCGAGGACAAAGGAGCCGTGTCCTGGAAGAGATTTCTGTCAGCCAATGTTTAAAAATTGTAGCGGCACAAATGAACCACAATGGCAAATCTTTTGAATCACCCAAAGCTTCCACTCCTTTGTTCCCCAAAGAAGCCATTCTTTGCAGTCCCTTTTAAAAGGCCGTGTATGATTAGTGAACTCTAAGAAATTCACAGCTTTGACTTCTTCCACCCTCTCTCTGATTGCTCTAGGTGGCATTTCTAGGAACAAGTAAAACAAAACCAGAATGGTGCTGGTGCTGAACCTTTGCTGAGAAGCTGGGTCAATCCTTGGAGGGATGACGGTTCCCAAAGTGCTTCTAACCGCCTCCCTTCTCTTCCCCAGGCTACTTTCTTCAGAATGATTCCCTGCAGAGCTGCGCTCTCTTTTGCCCGATGTCTGATCCGAAGAAAAATCGTCACTCTGGACAGTCTAGAAGATTCCAAATTATGCCGCTGCTTATCCACCATGGACCTCATTGCTCTGGGGGTTGGAAGCACTCTTGGTGCTGGGGTTTATGTCCTTGCTGGAGAGGTGGCCAAAGCAGATTCTGGCCCCAGTATCGTGGTGTCCTTCCTCATTGCTGCCCTTGCTTCCGTGATGGCAGGCCTTTGCTATGCTGAATTTGGGGCCCGAGTTCCCAAGACTGGGTCTGCGTATTTGTACACTTATGTCACTGTTGGAGAGCTGTGGGCATTCATCACTGGCTGGAATCTCATTTTATCTTATGTGATAGGTATGTTGCAAAAAAATATATATATATCAATCTGCTGTGTGGAATGGTAGAGCTAGCGCTCCTGAGGCAGAGATCCTTGTAGGTCTGCATTAGTTAGTGACTGTGTGATCATGAGTGAGTTACTCGATCCCTGTGTGTCCCATTTATCTCACCTCTAAAGTGTCTCCTAATTGCAAAATGCAGTGATTCTGCTTCATCTCTGAATATGCTTCTGAGTGAGTTTGGAAACCTGCTTTAAAAAAAAACCAAAAACCATAGTTCTTTAATGCAGATAAAGTTAGCTGATTCCACACTTATGGACATGATTGGTTACTAATGTAGAACTGGAAAATTATCAAGATAATTTTATATGTGATTCAAATTTTCAATTCTGTCTGAACTAAACCGTGTTCATCCTAGAACAGAGTAGCAAAGGATGTTATGTTCATCTTCTCCCAGTGACCTGTATATTCTCTGAATGCTCTGTGTTTTGGGAAGGTACATCAAGTGTTGCAAGAGCATGGAGTGGCACCTTTGATGAACTTCTTAGCAAACAGATTGGCCAGTTTTTCAGGACATACTTCAAAATGAATTATACCGGCCTTGCAGAGTATCCTGACTTCTTTGCTGTGTGCCTTATATTACTTCTAGCAGGTAAGGAAGCCAATTGCGCTCCACCCTGAGATGAGCCAGACTAACTATCCCAGGAAAATAAGTTACCACTGGATTTGGGGACTGAGTTCCCAAGACAGGGTGGCATATTTATATGTTTAAGTTACTACTGGGTATCTGTGGGCCTCTTCACTGGCTGGAATCACATTTTTTCTTATGTGATAGACATGTTTTAAAAATAAATCTAAATTTTGTGGCACAGTAAAAATAACACTTCTAAGTAAATGGTACTTGGAATGCACTAAAGAATAAAATAAGGCACATCATTATAATACCAGTTGGAGATTTGCAGGAATGGCAGTGAAGTTTCAATAACGAAGAATGTATAATTTTTGGCCTTATTTTATCTTGTTAGCCTCAGATAAGGATATTTGCAAGCATACTATTTCTAGAAGAATTTCTGTCTATTCATGCCTTCATCTATGTAATGTAGTTATTTAGCTGAAAAGGAAGCATATTCAAACCATCTGTCATTTTTTAATGTAGACATTATGTAGACAAACATACTTGTTGCTAGAATTTTCCCATATTTTACAGTCATGTAGCATAGTAGTTTAGAAAGAAAGGCACAGGAATTAGAATCAGAACAACCAGGTTTTCAGTCCTACTTTGCCACTCACTATCTTTGGAACATTGATTGGCATAATGTTTCTTTTTTTTTAAAGATTTTATTTATTTATTTGACAGAGAGAGACACAGCGAGAGAGGGAACACAAGCAGGGGGAGTGGGAGAGGGAGAAGCAGGCTCCCCG